GACCTTACACACTCATAATCACCCATAAATTTCATACCATATTAGTGCAAACTGCCCTCTGTATGCAGTACTGTAAATGCTTTTACCTTAATTTGCAGTAGTTTTATTTCACAGTAAAAAGGAAATTAAAGGTTTTCTCAGTGTTTGAACTTCACAGTTGAAAACAATTCTGTAGTACAGTACAACTATAAAATGATGTCTGCACAGTATTATGATTTTGCAAAAACTGCAAAAATAAAACCACCATGAAAGCTTTTAGAGTTACGTAGTGGAAACCAGCTTCTGTACATTCTGCTAGTACTGTGTTACAGGCACACAAAGTGACTAAAACTTACTCAAAAGCATTATATTTACAGTAACATTTGGTTTTTTGTTGTTTGCACTATTCTGAAATCCTACATTTGGAGGATATTCTACTGGGACTGGGAGTACCATTTGGGGAATGCTATGTCTATTTTTCCTGTTAAAAGCTCAATTTGAATGCTTTATATTTTGTACAAATTCTTGAATAAACATCAAGCAAACCCATGAGAGCACATAGTAGAATTCGTACACCTGCATGCATTGCTACAAGTGATGCTCAATTATTTCCTAACATATACAGTTTTCCCCATAGAACAAAAACACCACTGGAAAAACCCTAGAGCTCTTTGTGTCCATCCTTCAATGTCAATGTGAAAAAAATTCTGGATTGTTGCCAATAAAGAACTTCCGAAACCAACCCCCTACAGGCTGCCCAAATCCCAGTCTCAAAATTTGAAAAGTAAACTCTGGCTGAGGATTACAATAACTACAAACCCCTTGTGGAACTACAAACCTCTGGTGGTTTGAGTTTTCAACCATGAGTATGCTGTGTAAGTACACAGAGCTACATGAAAGGTTACAATAACAGCTTAGCACACTCAGATACATTGTACTATACAAAGTGCCTGCAAAGGCTTTGAGTTGCAAGATCATTAGATTGCCAGGTTTTAACATTAAAAATCTTCTTCCTGTACATTTCAAAATATACCTGTCAGATTTTTACAGAGATGTGACGTTTCAAAAGCTGACAGCAAAAACAATTGGATCATACAGCGCAAAAACATTGAAATCGCTGTATAAAAACTATAATTGAAACATGGATTTTCATTTATTTTTAGGCATCATACATTTTGATTTACCAGTACTACAGTAGCAAAAGTGACAGACCATATAATTTAAAGTGAAAACTCTACTTTGAACATTTGTTTTGCATACATAACTCAGGTAAAATGGGATGAATACTGTTTTGGATTTGTGTAGTGCATGGTTGGTTCTCCCGGACTAGATCTAACCCATTTGAAGCATGTATCTGCTCAAACGTGGGACCTCCGGCTTTACATCCTATCTGAGAGGACGTCCCTAACTAAAGCTAGGTAGTCATTTTCACCAGAGTCAAGTGATGAAGTAGGTATAAAATTCCCAAAGGCACAACATAGGGGCAGACCAGAGATTCAAACACAGAACCTTTTCATTCTGAAGGCCAACAACCCTTACCAGAGGACCACCTTGCCACTTTGAACTTACTGAGTCCAATTAGGTAATTACCAAAAGTTCTGCAGCACGAAATCGATAATAATCCACAAGGCAGGTGAAGCCAAAGCACTTTTAACAGTCCACCAGCCAAGTTGAACATTGATTTTATGATATCAGTGACGTCTTTACGGCGGGACCTTGACACCGTGTGGCAGTTCAAGGTGCCAAGTGATCAGTCTCATATCCACTATACATGATCTTCAATGTGCCAAATGGACTGGATACAAGGCTTGAAGCAATATGTATTGATTTTTTTGTTCAGTACATAATGGATGGAATTGTGACTCATGGCTTAAGGCAGACTAGGACTATAAATCTTGCCATATTACTGTACGGTCACATTTATTGTAGGCTGTCCTACCATTTTGACATCCATCCAAGCATCCATCCAAGGCAGATTTTTTTTAACTTGTGTGACACATGCAAGACTGTCCCAAGACTGTCCCAAGACTGTCTCAAGACTGTCTCAAGACTGTCCCAAGACTCCCAAGACTGTCTCAAGTCAAGACTGTCCCAAGAATGTCCCGAGACTGTCTCAAGACTGTTCCACATAAAACAGACATGAGGGTTCAAAAATACAACTGACAAAAAGTTTGTTCCTTTCTCGGTTGTAACAGTGAGGTTCAAGCACCAGTCCAATGGGTACGAACCTTTTGCCAAGTGGTTAGCGTGGTTCGTTTGTAAGCTGACTGCCATTGTCCCTGGAGCCAGGGTTTCACAACCACATATAGGTCGAGTCCTAAACAACTGCTTGGCTTTATGATATAGTTACTTTGGCATGACTCAAGATGAACAACCGGACCAAGATTCTGAGGAGTATTTTCTGCAAGGAACCAAGGAAATGTGTTAGCCTTGCCTTGGAACACGCCATCCTGATTGATCCTTCTGTCTGTAATTGTTTCCTCATCACAAACTGCCTCAGACATCAAGTCTAGCAGGGAGACCAGGATCGATGGAGACTGTCCGGCAAATCCATTTACCGTGATTAGGCCAGCTACAGGCGGGGTAATCAGGTAATGGACCGGTCCGAGTTGACAACATCACTACACTAGTCTGTTCATCACTATTCCTATTATGTTAGAGGTGGCAGTACATAATGTCTCACTCACGATTAGTAATGTACAAGAAATACATCCAGGGTTAGAAACCATCTTTCACATCTAGGTGCAAGCTAAAGCTAATGTACCTATTTAAAATAAAAGTTAGTAGTCTGTTCATCATTCTCCCTATCATGTTAGGAGTGGCAGTACATATTGTCTCGCTCACGATTACTAATGTACAAGATATACATCCAGGGTTAGAAGGCATCTTTCACATCTAGGTGCAAGCCAAGGCTAATTACCTATTTAAAGTAAATGTTAGTAGTAAAGCTGTCATCTTTTATTATAATTATATATTACTTTATTTTAATGGCAGCAACATGGCGGTGTTCACAGAACTATATGTTCAGCAGGTGCAGAAAAAAGAAAGTCAGTGAGTATGAATTATTTTAAATAGTTACTGTAATGATAAGTTTGCGGTATAGAAGTGACCACAAAAACCGCGAACATAAAAAAGTACCATGAAAAATCAGGAATTACAGTACTACTACTTGAGGTGTAGCAATTGATACTTTTTTCACTGGCTGGTTGTGCAATGTGCTGCCTTAGCATTTTTACTGTGTCATCCATACTGATATCAAAAAGTGTGCTAACTTATCTTTGACGGTTTTCTTCCACACATAGCAAAAACAAAGTGACTGTGTTGAATTGTCACAGTGCCAAAACGTTATCTATATGACATAGCCATATGATCATCATTGTGACGCACTCCGGAAGTTCATAGCAAAAATTGACACAACAGATATGAGCTGTACAGGAAATTCTGGAGGCAATCTAATCATATCCCGGCAATGATAGTGCTGCGTTGGCAGCAGAATGGATTTTAAATGTGTTATGCAGAAATATGTTTTTGCTGAGATCAGAACTATTAATCGGAATGGGGAAGTAGCACATTCCCAGAACATGGTAATTCTATTTGTATGGCAGATATCAACATTTGAGTTAAATAACAGGAAGTCTTGGTCTCAATTGTTACAGAAAGTTCTCCAACATTTGCAGATGATTCACTTTGAATTCAAAAAAACAAGGGTGGCCATTTTTTTGTCATGAAATACCAAGAATAAATTGTCGTAATTTCTTGACTAAAATAATTCTCGCCATCCCCCCTTTCTAAAATGAACCAGGTTACATTTTAGACCAACTTTCTATGCCAATTATTTTTCAAACAATAACATCATTTCATCACTAATACTGTATTGGTTTTTATTTATCCATTTTCTTGTTACTTATGGCTCAGTGTTTTCAAATATTTTTGTGGAATGTTCACTATTTTTTATAGTGAAAGAAATAATATAAAGAATGATTTTGAAAAAGAAATTACAAAAAAACAAGACCATTTTGCTCTACAACCCTACATCCTAACAATCAGTAAATTGATGAGAGATTCATTTGCCCTTGTCAGTCAACAATCACACAGGTCACTATTGCTACAACATCAGCTGACCTCCCTTCTCTTTGTTCGTGACCTCTGCCAGACAGTGGTGACAATCCTGCCCCACCCCGTGCATCAATGATGGACTGACCCGCAGGTCAAAGGGTAATGAACTGGGGTGGCTAATTATAGCTTCCCACACCACACCAGATGCTCGGTGCCCTGACCCATAAATCCTGGGGTGACCACGTCCTGTACACTTGACATTTGTTACTGGTGGATCCATTCACTTCTACGTGAGGTTTTGTCTTTCCCAGACTCGGTTTTCTGTGCTTCCCATGGCTGCTTGTCTGTTTGGATTTCATACTTGCCCATAGGGCAGAGCTTAGAAAAGTTTACACAAGAACATCTCTCTACTAGTGAATAACATTTTACATTTGTTACAGTATAATAGTCACTTTAAGTTTAACGTGAGGTTGCCTTTCCCAGCCCAACTTTCTGTGCTTTCATACTTCTCCAGGACTCCAAACACTAATCTCTACAACTTACAAGTAGATACCTAGAATTGGCTTACATGACATGCATGTGTTTTCCTATGAATATGAACCACCCATATGAATTTATTACTGTAAATGCAGAAACTTTCACAGTGGTTTTATTTGCAGTGGCATCTTACTATGAAAAATCATAGCAGCATGAATATTTTTTTTCAGTTCTAATGACTGTACTACAAGTAACGTGAAAACCTCCTTTTCACTCATACCGTGAAATAAAAGCACTGCAACGATAAATGCATTGTACAGTACCAAAAAAACAGGGTCTCAAATGGTACGTAACAATCATACAATTACAAATATCTCCATAAAAAACATGTTGAAACTGCTTTAAAATTTGTAATAGTCATTATTTCTAATGAAGTACCAATTGGGATATACTGAAAATATCATACTAAAGAGATATCAAAGTAGTACCTTTACGAAGTCTTCTCTCTTCAGTATATTCTTCTGTCAGTACTTCAATGAAGGATCCTGGAAGAAAAAACAAGAAAACAGGTTAATTTGTAAAAACATTACAGAAAACATGTGGAATGAGGGGAGCTGGTTTGTTTCCAGCCCTGTCCTTGGTGCTGAACTTACTTCCAATCAAAATTAATGTACTGATTATTTCAATACCAAAGGTTGAATCTGAGTCTAGATATTAGACATTCTGACAGCGTGCTCTTACATTGCATGGAACTGCCGATTAATATGGAGGAAGACTTAAAATTCCAGATTGTAATCAACACACAAAAGTATAGACTTAAGCATAAACATCCGTGCACAGATTGTGACACATACATTTACCAAACAACATCATCCCTCAACATTGTCAGTTCATCATATCAACATACATATATACAAAATACAATCACGTATACAAAAAAACATACATGGTATTATAGAAAGACAAAACATTATAAGTGTAATACCCATACGGTAGCAGCAAACCTAAAGAATTGAGCCAGAAAACAGCTTTAAGACCTTTGCTTTAAAAAAATAATCAATAGAATAGAAGCAATACCGGATGATATACAGATTTCACCTGAGCCCTTTTCTATAGTGACCAGAATAACCAATTTCAAATCAAAGCTTCCACTAATTAGATATTGATAGTATAGCCGTACTGTAACTGTTTAAATAGATTGAAGTAGAAAATAGCAAATTAGATGTAAAGCCCATAACAAACAGAGGGCATACAAGATAAAATTTTCATTAATTTTCAATAACATTTTCCAAAGCCCTCCTCTATTTATTTGACCAAAACAACGAATTTCAAAGCTGACCGACTGATTGTATACTAATTGTATACAGTATGCATTACTGTACCCAGATCAAAAGCAAAAAAAAAAAAGCATGCTTTAACAAATATCAGTTAAGAAGCAATGCTGGATAACATAGTATATTACACCTGAGCATTTACTACTCAAGTAACCAGAACAATAAAAGCTCTAATTATATAATTACTAATTGTATGGTATCACTGCACCCTATTCTAAAGGGTGAAAAAGAGACGAGAAAATACCCAAGCTTTAACCACGAAATACCAGTCTAGAAAAAATACACAATAACATACATTTTCTATCTGACTCTTATTAGTACTGTACTCTATTTCCAATGTGACTAGAACAATAAAAGTACCTGATAGTTCACACTCACTATACCCAGCTCTAAAGCATGTGGTACAAAACAGCAAAAGACCGGCTTGAACAAATACCGAAGTAGAAACAATACACTGTGACCTACAGCCATCCACCTGATCCCCCTTCTAGTCTTTATGTGACCAGAACAATAAAAACCTCCCACTAAAAGCTGAACTAATCTGTATATGTGCAACGATGTTCCCCATTTGTCACCTTAACAACCAGTGATAAATATCCGTCTCATGTCACTCCAGGGGTAACATGGCGTGAAATTTGCCCCTGACAGAGGAGAGTTTGATTGAAGTCACTAAATTCAACTGGGTGGTAATGTCGCTCTGGAAATTGTAGATAACACAATCTGTGGTCCAGGTCTTTGAATGATGCTGTAAAATTATGACATTAGCACCTTTAATACTCAACGACATTGGAAATAGACTAAACTAGCTATATGAGGTGAAATTTGCCTCTGACAGAGGAGAGTTTGATTGGAGTCACTAAATTCAACTCGGTGGTAATGTAGCTCTGGAAATTGTAGATAACACAATCTGTGGTCCAGGTCTTTAGATGATGCTGTAAAATTATGACATTAGCACCTTTAATACACAATGACATTGGAAATAGACTAAACTAGCTATATGAGGTGAAATTTGCCTCTGACAGAGGAGTATTTCATTGGAGTCAGTAAATTCAGCTCGGTGGTAATGTAGCTCTGGAAATTGTAGATAACACAATCTGTGGTCCAGGTCTTTAGATGATGCTGTAAAATTATGACATTAGCATCTTTAATACTCAGCCACATCGGAAATAGACTAAACTAGCTACATAAACAACTTTCTTTTTCATTCGTTCTAGACTGCTTATAATGCAAAATGCAGAATTTTTTGCAGCGGCTATGTTTTCGCGGTGACCTTACCCACCGCAAATGCATGACTACTGTATTACAGAACTGCTTCAAGAAATTTAGAACACTGAAAATATCCCCTTTTCCCTCCTACCATAAAATATAACCACAGTGACTGCAGAATTAAATGTATTTTACAGTATTCATTTTACAGTATTTCACAGTATTTGAATTTTTTTTTTTCTTGGATTTAGAAAAAAATAGTGCTGCTTAAATTTGAATATCAACATAACAACAGAGTCTGATGGGGAAGTCTGTACTCATGAAGTCAGAGTTTCTGGGAGTGAACAAGGCAGATGCAAGTTTCTACCCCAGCCTTCTGTTTTTATGGAGTCTGCTGCTTACTACATACTTGTACGTCCTCTTTCTACATTAGGGCTCGAAATTCATTTTTGGGAATAGGTGCACTGGTGCACCCAACCTAAAAAATTGGGTGCACAAAAAATATTTCAGGTGCGGCATATAAGATAAAATAAGTAGAATGTCAGCAAAAACTATAATTATGTTTCACTTCAAGTAAAGTATTATAACAATGATTGTATTATTTTTTCTGACACTTAGATGTTACAAATATGCTGTAACTACAATACAATTAAAATCTTAACATATGTTAAACCTGAGAGAATATTTGGGTGCACTGGTGCACCCACAAAAAAAAGGTGCACAGCTCCAAATTTGGATGCACATGCACCCAGTATTTCGAGGCCTGTACATAAAAATTTCAGAGAACCAACAAAATAAATTGGTGTGGCCTTAAACACACTGTAGTACAGAAAGGAAAATTCTTCAAACCTTCACTGATTTCCCATGATGGTCATATTTATCAAAGCTATAGAGAATACAGGGGCTTCTCTACAAAATTAAACACAGATATGGCCGCTCATCCCCTGACATCTTCCATCATGCTCTCTACTTGCTACAAATTTATTGATCCCAAATTGGCATACAGAAGCAGCCATCATATAAATTCTGAATAATAATTTTTTTTTAGTAAGAACAGTTCATTGCCATACAGCACAAGTGAATTTTCATGAGGTCATAAACAAATTTCATTGGTTCTCAGATTTTTGTTGGAAATCAACGAAACAGCAGGCAAAAAAAACTGGCCAAGGCATCCTATGATAGCCTGAAATGCTACAGATATAGAAGCCACAAAGTCAACATATACTAGGCTGGTTTATCATTCAAAAAATGCATTCAAACTTTTAATGGAAAAAGTGGGAGAACTCAGAAGATAATGGCTTTCTGCAACTGTTTTTTTTTCTGTTTTGCAAACCAGAAAAAATGAGTCAGGCAATTTATGAACCAAGAAACTGAATTTGCAAGGCCTTGCCTGCAGAAAAAAAATTGTATCACCAAATTTGACTGGAATGACAAAAACTGTCTCGTAAATACACCAAATAGCCAAGCTTCCAAATTACGACTGATCGCTATACATCATATCTGATATACCAGAAATCACGCACATATAAATTTTGATTTCATGCCAGACCTTTGTCTGGGTGACCTCCTGCAGTAGTAACTATTGATTGCAGACATAGATCAATCTGTAGTGACTAATAACTGGTAACATTTGATGCCTGGTATCTTGATGAAGCATCAGAAAAACTTCAGTCTGTGTTTCCAGTTATGTTTTGAAAAAAATATGGTCATTGGGTATAGGAACCATCTTTTTTTTCCTTCTTTTTCTTATATAATTTCAGATTTAGGCTGAACTATTATATAAATCCAACACACACAGTTTAACAATTATGTAAAAATGAAATGCATCAGGGCCAGGGCTGTATCCAGGATCTGTAACAAAAAAAGGTGGAAACAAAACATTTTTATCCTAGGCTTAAAAACAGTAGGGCCTATCATGCCAAAATCCTCATCCAAACTTCTAGTTTTCTACTACAGTAATCATTCAAACAGGGATGTCCTAAGGGCTGATCAATCATTTGTTTCGACGAGGGAAATACAAATCAGGTAGGTTTGGATCAAAATTTGGCCAACCATATTACTCATTGCTGATCAAAAATAAATGTTCTGCACTACTGAGACAACCTATCTTTCAATGATTTGGTCGACTAACCATCTTCCACTGGCCCTGACAAATGCTTTTTCTCAGTCGCGAAAAGCTACCAATGGTGCTACATTGTGTACTAGTTCTAGGAACATTTTTTCAACACTTTTCAATTTATTGATGAACTTAATTATAGTTTTACCTTTTGACTCTACATGCGCTGTAAAATTGATTAAATGCATTATAATTTTGTGGTGGTTTTATTTTGCAGTAGGACTAGGAGGAAAATGATTTTTTTTCGTGATATTCTAAATTCGCAGTTGAAACACTTCTGTAGTCCAGTAGTCATACAGTGTACAAGGAAGGCATATTCCTGGTGTCATGACTTCGCACTGGAGGTGCGAAAATGGCAAATATTAAACCACCACTATACTCTCTCTGCAACAAACTTGAAATGTAACTTCTGTGGCTAGCATAAAAGAAAGCCGGGGCAGCTGTCTGGTATTATGACACCATATGTTCTAAGGCTATAAAATCATAAACATTATAGACAACTTACAAAATCCATTTTCAACATTTATGACCAAAACTCTACTCAGAATTTTATTATGGCTGCTTTTAATTCAACCCGATGGCAGAAAGTTGACCCAGAGCTGGAGCAATCCTTGGTAACTGTTTATTAATGACTTCTGGCCAGGCTGTGGGATCTAATCTCCTGTTTATGGGTGTCCGGGGATCGGTTGTGGTTGCTGTGGAATAACTGATGAGATTTAAATCATTGCAATGATACGGTGAGTTATGAAATATTTATCGTATATGATTAGCTACTGGTATGACATGTCATTTGACAGAAAAGAACAAAATGTACGTATACCACAGAACCCTGGAGATGTAAAAGATTGTAAGTTGTTAGGAGGTCAGTGACCTTTAACAGAGTATTGGA